CATCTCCCCCAATCGATCTACAGTTTAATGTAACCCCTATCAAGGTATCGGTTGCCATTTTTTTCCATGCAGAAATTGACAAACTGATCCTAAAATTCATATGGAAATGCAAGGACCCAGAACAGCCTACACGATCTTGGAAGAGAAAAACTAAGTGGGAAGACTCACATTTGTGATTCAAAACCTAATACGAAATTACAGTAACTAGGATTGTGGCTCCGGCACGGCAGAGACATTACAATGGAACAGAGCTGTGAGTTCAGGAATCAACCGACACATTTATGGGCAACTGATTTTCAACAAGGGTACCAAGACAGTCTTTTCAAAGGAAGAACATGGTGCTGGGACAACTGCATGTCCACATGCAAAAGAATGAAGTAAAGTAAAGGCCTTTACCTAATACCATAGGCAAAAATTGATGCAAAATAGATCAAAGGCCTAAATGTAAGAGCTAAAACTCTAAAATGCTTAGATTAAAACACAAATCTCCGTGACCTTGGCAACAGTTGCTTAGATGTGACGCTACAAGTACTGCAGCCAAAGACAAAACAGAAAACTGGGCTTCATTAAAATTAAAAACGTTCGTGCTTCCAAAGACACCATCAAGAAAGTGAAAAGACAACTCATAGAACGAGAGAAAAATTTTGCAAACTATGTATCTGATAAGGGTATAGTAACTGGAATACAGAAAGAATGCTTACAATTCAACGACAGAACGACAAATAATCCAACTGAAGAACGGGCAATGGATTTGAACAGACATTTTCCCACAGAAGACATACAAATGGCCAGTAAGCACATGAAAAGATGTTCAACATCATTAGTCATTTAGGAAATGCAAATAAATAAAAATGACAACATGATATCATTTTATACCCATTAGGATGACTATAGTCATTAAAAAAAACAAAAATACAAAAACAAAAAACAACAAGCGTTGGTGAAAAGATGGAAAAATCAGAATCCTCAGACGCCCCTGGTGAGGCTCTCACGAGGTGTGGTCACTTTGGAAGACGGCTCAGCAGCTCCTTTTACCGTAAGACCCGAGAATTCCACTCTTCAGGTATACACCCAGGAGAACTGAAAACATATATTCACACAAAAATGTGTACATGAATGTTCACAGCAGCATTACTCGTACCAACCCCAAAGCAGAAACGACAAATGCCTGTCAACTGATAAATGGCTAACAAAATTAGGTGTAGCCATACAATGACATTAATTTTCAGCATGGAAAAGAATGAAATACTGAGAGATGTTACAATGTGGATGAACCGTGAAAACATGATGCTAAGTGAAAGAACCTGGACTCAAAAAGGTCACATGCTCTACAATTCCATTTATTTGAAAGTCTAGAACAGGCAAATCCACAGAGACAGGAAGTAGATGATCGGTTGCCAGGGGCTGGGGGGAGTGGGCAATTGGGAGTGACTGCTAGTGGGTACGTGTTTTCTTTGTGGGAGAATGAAATGTTCTGAAATGGATTGTGGTGATGGTTGCACAACTCTGAATATACTAAAAACCACTGAACTGTACATTTAAAACAATAAAAGAAAGTTTTTCTCGTAAGCACCTAGCAAACTCATACTCAAGAAATGGCTCATCAGCTAAATGTCCATCAACAGCGGCAGACTCAGTAAATTAGATCACAACCACACAATTTCACCCGCGCAGGATAGCTAACGACGCTGAAAATGCTAAAATATTAAATGGAAAAGTAGCACTTTAAAAATTAGAGCTATCACGCACACTCGTAAACGAGAGATTAGAAAACAGTCAGCGCAAGGCATTAATATTATATTTATTTGAATAGTAGGACTATGGATCGATTATTATTTTCCAATGGCTCAATTATGATGATCAAGCATGAACTTTGTGACGGAGGAATAAATGTTATTTCGAGAAGAGCAGAAGCGCCCGTTGGCAGCAGATGAGCGCCCGGAGGCCTGAGGTTTACACTGTGGCACACGAGAGTAAATGCCTCTTCCAGCAGCAGCTTAAGGCTGATGGGAGCGGCTGGATCCACAGCGACCTGCCATCTGAACCCAAACAGGCTTGACATTCCCGGAGA